GAGAGTTTCATGTCTCCCAGCAGTAGAATGTCCTTCTGCTTGCAGCCTCGTTTTGTAAGGGCCAGTAGTCATTGTTCCCTATTGGCCCTCCACAAGTGGCCTCTACAGGCAACCATCGTGCCTCAGTTATCGTGTCCTCAGGTGACGCTTGGCGTGCGCGCTTTGCCCCTGGCTAGGCATGACCTCATGGATGGCAGACCCCTGCCCGTGGTTCTCTTTTCGTGTTCGAGTGTTGGCCTTTCAAGGTCGTTCTCTTTGCCTACAATGCATGCATCGGTGGCCTGTTCGATTCCTTTTTCTAGTGCTCTCAGGACAGCTCAAGTTATGACTCGCGTGTTGGGCCCTCCTAACAGTCCGCGCTTATTCAAGGTTCAAGCTCGTTCTGTCAGATATTGTCCACGCAAACCTACTGTAAACTCTATTAATCAACCCGTCACTCCCCGGAATGCTACCTTCTTTGAAGAACGTGGCCCGACCTGCCTCAATGTAGCCGCACCATCCAGTCACGCATCGCGCTCATAGGACGCCGAAAAATCATACGAAACCAATGACAATCCAGCCAGTAGTACGATAATAGTGCAAACTCGTTTTTGTTATGATATTACACACACCGGTCATGTACTGGTCCTGTGTGACCCCTGCGAAATGCCCGTGTTGAACAAAAACTTGAGAATCGCATCAAGGAATTCGCATAAAGCATCATCATAGCCCACATAATTTCAATAACCTTATCATCCTGTTCGATCAAGCGCCCATGCACAAGGGCAACCAATGCGTTGAAGCTGGCCTTCGTCAATTACGACAGGAAAACTACAGACCGTAAGGGTGGTGTTCATGGCGGTAGTAGTCGAAGTAGTCGTAGTAGTTGCGATATTAGTAATAAGGGCAATAAAAGCTTATGTAGTTCCCTTCACTAATCCCTGCTCCCAGCATGTTGTCCTACGAAAACGGTGGTTATAGGGTTTTATGGGTAGATAATTATGATACGCAGTGGAATATACTTTAATAACTGCTATATGCATTTTTATTGTATTGTATTTAAAAGTGTTGATTTATATCTGTAAATTTTCCTATTCTGTATTATCGTTTAACGTATTGCAGAAAAACCCGATTATCAAATTTCAGGTTTCTTGAAATTCCCGAAAAATAGAAATTGTGGTTAGGAGGTCGTCTACTTCAACTTATCTGAGGTCCAACTTACCGTTCTCGAGTTAGATTAGTATAGTCCGCGGTGCGAAGCGCCGCGCACATCTTTAACTTACTCTCAGCGGTTGTGAGAAAAAAATTAGACTACATTTTGCACTTTATCCTTACCTCTAAAAATTTCCTTCCCTGCATATCCTATTTCCATAGCCCCAAAAATCATATAATCACCGTTTTCGTGGGAAAAAATGCTAGAAATGGGGATATATGAGGGGGAATACATAAGCAATTTTTGTCGTAATAAGTTTCATAGCAGTAGACTTAGTGGAGAATGAAGCGTAATGGGAGGGGGAACGACTGAGAATGTGAATAGTTTGATGGTGGTGGTGGTGGTAGTAGTATTAGTAGTAGTAGTAGTAGTAGTAGTAGT